TAGCCCAAAAGGGACAAACCAAACACTGCCTCTAGATAGGGTTTTTTAATGCCTTCGCACTTGAAAGGGGAAGGTGAAGCAAGAAAGTTGTTATCTTCAACCATACCTTTAGATGCCACTAAATCCTACACACTGGATCTTTAACTGTTTATCATTTCTAAGAATCCTGTTGACAATTTTAATATAAATGAAAGAAAGAAAGGAAGGTGTGGAAAACAAACATTTGGACAATAGTGGATGATGGGTGATTTATAATACATTTTATTTAAAAGAGCGCTTGTCTGAATACTCAAAGACACTGTACAATATAATAAAAGAAAATACAAGAACATCAATAGGTAAAAAAACAATATAAACAGTACATTACATATGTTAAAAAAACACATTAGACTCAGATTTTAAAAGCATTTTGAAAAGGTGTGTTTTTGTCAGTGATTTGAATGTTGGAGGTCGGTACAATCACGGATGGCTTTGGGGAGAGAGTTCCAGAGGGAGAACGCTCTGTCGCCCCAGGTTCGTTTTGAAATTTGAACGTTTTTTTGAACGCTGTATCATTTTTCTCTTGTGCAGACGTGAGCATCGACGTCCCTGATACTCTGGACCTGAGCGCCCTGCGTGCAACTGGCCAGCAGCCAGGGGAAGAGCTTCTACCAGAGGTGGCCCCGCCCCCACTCATGACCCCAGATGTGGAGGTTAAAGGTATCCTGGGTTCCCATGGCAACGAGGAGGACGACTCGCTCTACTCCCCACTGCTGTGTTAGTCTGTCTGTCATTTCTGCTCTGTTTCTTCCCCCTCTTATTTGTCCACTTGTTTCCTCCTTTTCTTTCTTTCTGCCTTTTCTGTTTTCTCGTCCTTCCGTTGCCTTATTTTAAATTTTTTTTATTTATAACTTATTTTATTTATTTTTGTAAAGTGATTTGAGTTACGTTTTAAATTTCAATATATCAATGGGTCTATTCTTGGAGTATATGAGTTTTTTATTTTATTATTTTGCCTTTTGTCAATTATTTGGGAAAGTTTTGTTAATAAGGAAGTTTTCAGTGCAAAAAAATAAAACAATGTTTTTCCTTTTGCAAATAATCAGTGTTCTTGTTAGCAAGTAAATGCACATTCCACAAATTGCATCCAAGTAATAAAACTTTTTTTCTCTTTTTCAGCTCCAGTCCTTGATGATTCCACTGTGTCCCAGTTATGTGAAATGGGATTCCCACTAGAGGCCTGCAGGAAAGCGGTCTACTACACCGGGAACACTGGAATTGATGCTGCCATGAATTGGATCATGAGCCATATGGATGACCCAGGTGTGCAGAGCAGTGGGAATTTCCTAGAAAACAAATCATCAATCAGTCTGACTGGTCCCCTCACTCTTCATGTTCTCCTCTTTTTGATTGGCGGCAGACTTCGCGGCTCCTCTGGTGTTGCCAGGCTGCAGCTCCGGCGCTGGGACCACACCCACAGAGAGCCTCTCCGAGGAGCACCTGGCAACCATCGTTTCCATGGGCTTCAGCCGAGACCAGGCAACCAAAGCACTTCGAGCAACGGTTAGAATCAAACTCCTTCCAGATAGAGATGGAGATTTTACTCATTTCACATGCCACTTAAAAGTTGAACCGTGCCAGTACAGACACAGCTGCTCCCTTTTTATTCAGACAGTAATGTAGCCAAGTTTTCGTCATGCTTGGAGACTCAAACCAGTGTTGGCCTTAATATCTCAACAAAGATGAGTAGCAGGATTCTACTTTAAGTTGCATTAAGCTAAGCTGTCTCAGAATCACTGGTAAGAGATATTTCTTAGATTTTAGTTACTGTATGTCCAGGATTTTTGTAGTTGTGACAAAATAATTTAGAATAGCTAACGCGATTTTTTTTTCCTATATGTCCAAATGAAACTACAAATTAGTTTTGAAAAAACAATATACTCTTTAAAAAAAGAGTATATTGTGTCTCAGGACAGAGCACCCCTGATGAACGAGAGTAGCAGAAAAAACACAGAAAACACCTGGTAACTAACCTTTCCACATGGCTTTTTACTGAAGCCGCTGCAGAAAATGTTTAGTTTAATTCGTGGAAGCTTAATTTAGATGTTTTCCAAAGAAGCTGCAGGTCAAGACCTACAGTACATTTAGAAAATGTTTTGCCACTTATTTGTCGGCGGGTCACTTTTACACAAGGGAACTAGTCAGGCAAAGAGCTGCAGGTACCAGTTTGGGTGACCCTGAAACCTCCAGCACAGGTAACTAAGGTAAGCAAAGCTTTTTTTTTTCTTTGCTGTTGTCCCGTCATTAGCTACAGGAACAGTCTCATGCTGTCAAAAGTTTTATTATGATATTTAGCTCGTTGTAGAAGTGAAGTTAAATAGTATAGTATTTTAAATGTTTTATTAAAGCTCAATAATTAAACGCAGCCACATAATGCTATGTCAAACATTAGCACCATTCATCTAATATATTTTGCCGTGTTTCTATGATCTAATGGCCAGCCTCTTAAGAAATTACATCAGCTTTCTTTAGCCCTCTAACTTGTAAAATATATTGTACTTGGAGTGTAAAATCAAAACACACCACACATACTTATATTTGACCAAAAGCTCCATTTGTTGCTATTCTCTAATCTTGTGTCTGGTGTGTGTTTCACAGAGTAATGTCCTAGACCGGGCAGTGGACTGGATCTTCTCCCACCTGGATGACCTGGAGTCCATGGATGTGTCTGAAGGCGGTCGCTCAGCCGCAGAGAGCGAGGGTGGCAGAGATCCTCCGCCTGGGCCTCGTGTCCGAGACGGACCAGGCAGTGAGTACCAAGGAGAATGATGAGAGAGGAGGCATTTAAAACGTCATTACCTCAGAATGAATATTGGCTGCAGAGATGGGTTCAGAAACATGAAATGTAGATGGCAGCAATATGACCAACTCCTGTTTAAAGTCTAATTTGATTTAATATTTTATAATATCTAATATATATGTTTTCTAATTATAATTGTGGTTTCTTTTCTTTATCCAGAGTATGAGCTGTTTGCGTTCATCAGTCACATGGGGACGAGCACAATGTGTGGCCACTACGTCTGTCACATCAAGAAGGATCAGCAGTAAGTGTTTGTTGTGCTTGTGTCTCTAGCATTGAGGGATGTTTCAAAGTCCCAACTTGAGAATGTGAGAACCAACCGTTCAAAAATATTGCAGAAACCAAAAAAATTACTTATTTTATTCATTGAATGTCTTTATTCTGTTCTAATGTAATGGAGTAGCTGGTTTTACAGTGCCTCAGCAGGGGGCAGCATACTCCAGGTCTGGTTTGAACAATAATAGCTGCTGATATAAACAAAGTGCAAGTTATTAACCTGTCATTAAACTGAGATTTGAGTGGTTTATATCCACTTAGGAGGAAATGTGCAGATTTATTTTCTCATTATTTTCTAATTTGTACAAGGGGATGCTTATTTGAACACAGTATGACCTGAAATTGCTCAAAAATGGCCATTATTTGTTCAAATATTATGTTTTTTTGCTCATTTTGGAAGAGCAGCAGTCACTTTAACCAAGTGGTGGGTATTTTACTTTCAAATAAGACCTGTTAGTTTCAATCCACTCTGTTCTGTATAATCAAATACATCCCCTGTCTGTTATCTAGTAGCCCTTTGTGAACCGAGTGATCTCTGTCTCACAGGTGGGTCATCTTCAACGATCAGAAGGTGTGTGCTTCTGAGAAACCTCCCAAAGACCTGGGATACCTTTACTTCTATCGGAGAGTGGCTGAATGAGACAAGGGAGCGTTACACTCGGGGTGACAGAGGAGAAATGTGGACGTTAAGACAAACACACAAAGACAACATTTGTAGTCGCACCCTACCAAGCTCTTACAAATGCCCTGGCACGCTTCACAACTGACAAAAGTGTAAATAAATCTCTCAGATTGCATATATACACAGCTAAATAAATGGGTGCAGATGTACAGATATGGTGTTGGAAGTCGGGGGGGGGGGGGGTTTTTTTTTTGGGGGGGGGATTTTTCTTTTGAGCCATTGATTAAAAACAATGGGCCTGTTTAGAGAAGAAGAATTTGTCACCTGGACGATTATGCTGAGTAATACTGAGAACCATCTGAAATCTGTTAAAAACACACCTGTTTCCAGGTTTTACTCAGCAAATGTATCCAGATAATTCAGAAAACCTGCTTCATGGAACAGGCCATACACTCCTTATTAATAAGTATGCTTAACCATCACCGTTAATCTGTGTCCTGACTATTGATTTGCACTGCCATCAGTAGTCACTGCCTCTCCCCATCAAAATATGTCGCTTCCAGCCCACTTCTTCTTTTATTGGACGGTTGCAACTCGGTGTCGCCTGTTCAGCCTGGCGCTAACTTCTCCTCTTCCCGTTTCAGTAAAAGACAGTTGAAGATCCACGATGAGAGGAAATGTCAGTGAATCAAACAAATGAATAACAGCTAAAATGTGTGTTACAAAAAGGAAATAAAAAAAAGTCAAAACACCAAATCAACTTGTTTTTTCTTAAAAGTTTGGTGAGGGTGATATCTGGGTGATTTTTGTTTTATTTTGTTTTTACTTTGCAAACAAATCCTTTGTTACTTTGCTGTGACAAATAAAGAATTGTCTTTCTGTCATTCTGCCTTTCTTCTTTTTTAATAAGTCATCATGGAGTTGATTTTCAGCTTACTCCTCTAATTCCCACGTGATTGCAACATGATTACAAGTTAGTGCCTCAATCCTACAAACTTGAAGTGAGAATAACATATGGTTAATGCTTGTATCCTTTAGGTTATTTATATATAATAAGTATACATACTTATATATATTTAATAGTGTCTATAAGTTGCTGTACATAAGTTTACTCAGCTTCATCTAAAAACTGCACTATGTATAAAAACCCAGTTGGTGAGAAAGCGCAGGCATGAATAGCAAACCCACAAAAATCTAGCGTTTGCATTGGCCTACAACTTCATAAACGGCAGGCTTCTTTTCAGATCTCTTCCGCCTTCTACAGTTTTTGCATCCTTGCATTTTTGTTTGTGAAGCAGAGAGAGGATGAGGAAATATTTTGGCCTTCTATAAAAGCACAAAAGACTTCACTGCCACAAATACCTTAAGGTAAGGTCTCAAACTAGATCATGAAATTAAGTTTTATGTTGTAAAATGAAATATTTGGAATTAATGTGACAGTTTGGAAACCATTATTCTTTTAAAGCGTAAACTGAAAGTAATGCTGGAGGAACCAAGTTAAACAAATACGTAGTAAATACATAAACATTTATCAGTTACTGTTATGTATCTCTGTAAATGTATATTTTTTAGAAACCAGCGTAGGAGTCTAGATGAAATACTCCTAAACAATTGTGAAGGAAAATGTGCTCAACCATGTTTCCAATCCCTTAGTGTGTATGTCAAGGTCAATTATATTTTAAGGGGTTAAATAGTCTTTATGATCTCAGTTTATGACTATTGTTCAGTCAGTGAGGTGAAATATATTGACAATATGTCAAATAAGACTAAAGATTAATTTTGAAACCTTTCTCTAAAACATTAATTACCTATTTCTATTGTAATTGTTCTGACTATCCAAAATAACAAATTCAAAGATATATTTTGTGCCTTTAAACTGAGAAATTGTTCAAATAGAATTAAGTATTTTAGTTTGCTAAATTTAATTCTTAAACCTTTCAAAATCATGAAACATCAAAGAACACAGTGATACAAGGAGGGATGAATCGCTTGTCAGACGTTTTATGAGAATTTATTTGATTCAGTTCCTTATTAGTTACAAAGCTGTACAAAATTATTCCTCTTTTGACAAACTTATTATTTCCAACATCTGACATATGATCAGATTGATTTGAAACAAATTAACACGGATTATTGAGCATGTTAATTAAATACAAAAGAACTTAAACATATGTTGAAATTGTACCAGTGACAATCAATTCAGTTTTTTATGGGTTTTTTAATGTCTGTAAAGAAAGTTTTAAATCTTTAAAACAGGAGATGCGAGCGAGAGGAAGGAAGTAGAGACACAGCATCTCGGTGGTTAGGGATCACACGCTGCTCGTCTCAAACAGAACCTGTGTGTGGTATCTCTAAACTGGAAATGTTTGCAGTTGCAGCATGAACTACTGTATTAAATGTTTTTCTTTAATAAATTTGTTTGTATTTTACCCCCTTAGATTCAACATTCAAAATGAAGACAACTGTGTGGTTTGGGATTGGTGAGTGGATTTAATTCATTGTAAATAATCCTTTAAAATAAATTCTTAATGAGTTGCTAGTAGCCTATAAATCTAAATAAGTCTTTGTTTTATGTTTATGAGACTCTCTTATTCTACTTTGGAAAATAGCTGCAGTTGTGTTTTACTCATCCAAGATCTATACAAACTACATACTAAATCCAACCAAATAAATCGCCCTTTAACTTCATATGCAGTATATGAGTCTCCAAATCAAACTCATGAGGATATATTGCAATGACATCAGTTAGCCCTTGTCTTAATATACAGAGTTTGTGGTATTCTCCTGTGAATATATTGTACTAAGTGATGTGATCCTCTCTTCAGTGCTGGGAGCACTCTCTGCTACAGGCAAAGTGTTCATCACAAAAACAGGGACGGATACCGTTTTAGAGTGTGGGGTCAACACCTTCAGCAGCATCCTGACGTGGAATAAGAATAATGAAAACATTCGTACAGCGCGTTTAACAAGAGGCCTACTTACGAAAGGTATAAACAGACTTTAAACTACCTTTAAATTACCTACAGTGCAATATATTGTTTTAAAAACATTGTTGCTAATTACACATTTATTTTCAGCCGTAGGCTCAGCTGCAATTGTGAAAAGGTCAACGTTAAAAAACACAAATCTTGAAATCACTAATGTGATGGTAGAAGATGCCGGAAAGTTTACTTGTGAGGCAGATGGGCAACCTCACCATCATACACTTTTGGTGGTATCAGGTAAGCAGAAGACTCATTAAGTTCATATTAAAGACTTCTTTTTGGTGATACTCATTGTATTGTGTTTACACCTACAGTAATTAGATTAATACAAGATCAAGATTTCAAGTAAATTTCAAATAAATAATTTACTATCACAGGTAAGTTTTACTAATAATAATAATTTCAGCAACTTTTGAATAATTCATTTTTGAAGCAAAAAATGAACACACACACACACACACACACACATTTTTTTCAGCCTTAAAGGGTATTCCAATGATTTAGTATTGCATCTTTATAGAGTTGAGGGATTCATAAGTGACAGATTTAAAAAAGTTTAATATACTGATACTGGTCCCTAATATAGCTCCAAAAGCACTGGATCCTACATTTCCCATCATACAACTCAATAATGTCTATCTTAATGAGCCTACATTTCTGGACTTCCACGTGTTTAAAACTCCCCAAGAGAGTTAACAGGCCTTTAGTTAGAAAATGTATTATTATTTATATTATACTTCAGGATTCTCTCTATTAGCTGAGGACTTGTGATTAAACCGATCCCCATATGTAAAATCAGTGGAGTGGCCCTTTAAGTTCATGATGTACTATCTGAATTTAAATTCAGATGTTCCAGATTTTAAAACCAACCAAAGTACAATTATATATTTTAATTTTGCTCTTCCTATTGTGTCCCACGTTCCTAATGATCTGGATAAAGTCATTTGTTCAGCATGGCGTCCACTTTCTGTTTGTGATTCTCACCGTATCCTCGCCCCCGTCTGCTGTCCCTCTCTGTGTCAGTCTGGGCCAGCCCCTCTGGTAAGCTCCAGGTGGGCAGCGAGGCTAAGCTCCACTGTCAGGTAAAAGGTCTGGATCCCTTACCCAAAGTGCAGTGGACAAGGCCAGATGGAGGTGAACACTCAGGGTTACTAAATCCTGTGACCAGCTCAGATGATGGGACCTGGAAGTGCACCGTCTCCCATGATAGGACACACACTGAGGTCCTTAAGATCGAAGTCACAAGTAGGTCGCTGGCTTCTTCCAAAGTCTTTACATATGTGTTTTAACCATTGATAGTATATAAAGCTGCCTGTAAGATCACTGCTAAAGACAAGATGTGCTGTGTTTTTGCTTTCAGAGCCTACTACTACAAAACCTGCACCAATCCCTTCCCAAAACTCAAAGGATGGCCGTAAGACATGCCCCAACTGTGCATACTGCCTGTGTTTGTTTGTGTAAATCCTCTGACTATGAGCACATAGTCACACCGGAAGTGACTCTTCACTGTATGTGTCATTGAATCATTATTGTCTCTTTCTGCCACGGTCTTTTTTTCATAGGTCAACCAGGTGGTACTCACCCTAAATCTCCATCTGATGCTCCTCTGATCCTGGGGCTTAGTTGGTGGATGTGGGTTATAATTGGAGTTGGCTGCCTGGTTGTGATTCTCCTGATGGTCTTTGTCATTTGCTTGTGCAAGAGGATCAAAAGAAAGAAGGTAAAGTAAAGAAAATCATTCAGGGAATCTTCATAAAGCCGCTTTGTACATTTAGTTTAGTAGTTGTGATGAAGGAGGATGAGTTACTGAAGCAAACCAACGAAATTATAATGTGATTTTTTTTTCTGCTATAGAGAAAATTGCAGATGAAGAATAGCCGCCAACTAAAGACGCCCAAGCAGTTCTGCGAGTGTAACCGGTAAATGTTCTTAACTTGTTTCTATCTAGTAAAAAAAAAAGCTTTATCCCCTCTCCAGTAATCTCTACTTACTTTACAGATGCTTTCTAATAGACTCTATTCACTTTATATTAATGACAGTTTGACCTTCATTTTTACTGTGCCTTTTTACCAAGTCTTTCATTATTGTGGCGTAATTAGTGTGAAAACTTCTCCTCTTTCCTCTCTTTATCACAGCCCAGCAGCTGCAGCAAAACCGCGGCAAGGACGCCGGAGAGACAAGTCATCAGACCTCCCTCTGCAACCCCTCCTAATAGAGTGACATGAAAGGCAGATCGAAGAAAGGAGAGATAGACTAAAAAGAAAGAAAGATGGAAAGAGAAAGAGAGCAAGAGGAAGAAAAAGAGGCGAATAGATAGAGATAAAGAGGAAGAGAGAGCGAGTGAAAGAGAGAACCCTGGTGTGAATATGGAATGAATGTAAATGGGCTTTTGAATGCTCTTTATGAAAATAAAAATCTAATGTAATGATGTGGACACTTTGAGCTTTTTCACCAAATATAACCAGTGAGCTGAATGCAAATAGACTCTCCCACTGCAAGGGAGAACAGCAACTGTCTGTACTTATTCCGTGCATTTATGCAGCATATTAATATATCCTTATATACAGCCTTGTCAACTTTCTTATGTACTGCCTCGCATCTTAAATTTAATTCTGCTGATTTAGAATTTGATAGATGTTTCTGTATACTTTGTCTTTGTTTCTGTAGGTTGTGAATAAAAAGTTGAGAACTGTATTGTTTTTTTTCCCCCTCAGTCAATAAACTATAAGGATACCCGACTGATTTGTTAAGATATTTCTATCCTCATATAACAAAACAGGGTTCAATCAGTTAGATAAAATCAACCGTAAAGCTGTGTATTGTGTCCTGTGAATCCCCTGTGCGCTTAGATCATTTTAAAGCAGTGTAGGAGAGGCAGACTCCATCAGTAACAATACAAACTACTTTATAGAGAATTAACTACTGACTAGATGTACACAGGATAGCTATTCCAAGAAAAATATTAGTATTTATAAAATTAGTAGTATCTAAAACATTAGAATGTAAATGATTCTAACTTTTACCTCATTCAACGAGATATCAAGCATTTTCTTTACTCTTTCGTGCCATAATATGCTTTAAACAGTGCCTGCATCCTGCATTGTTACAGAAGCTCTGTAGTCCCCACAATTGGTGCAGGACAATGCAGGTGTTGACACCAGTGCAGCACTACATGTAATGAAATATAGTAACACCTGTTTTTAGACAGTAACACAAGACCACCAGTGACATACATACATACATACATACTCATTTGTATTTAAGAGTTAAAATAAATTATATCTTATAGGAGCAAAGAAATTCTCGGATTGTGTAACATAAGCCTACTTTACAAAACTTCTACACGGTATACATGGTGTCTGTATGTGTGATTATGTAACTATAATCTATGTAATCCACTTAGTACATAACAGATAGGATGGGATCATAGTAGTGTCTGACTTCCTGTGTTTGTGAGTGAGTGTGTGTGTGTGTGTGTGTGTGTGTGAGCCTGAAAGCGACACCTGCAGTGCCAAATGTCAGAGCTGAACTCATCGCTGCACTGAGAACATCACATGTGAGTACTCCTAAACACACTGTGTATATACCCAGTGTTCTGCTTCTTCTACTTGTTATTTTACTTGCCCACAGAGGGAAGATACATAGTCAGGATAGCAATATGTCAGTCTGTGAGGACGCAAATTGTTTCTACAAATACTGACAAATCTCCTAGATGCTGCCGGAGATCCACTCTCGTAGACAGAAGCCAAAGGGGGCACCGAGGGGCAAGACTGTAGTGCTGAAATCTGGTCTCGCCCAAGGCCATATTTTTAAAACTTTTTGTCTTGTTCCACATACTGAGTGATTTGCTTTGGCCTTGGTCTGGTTTAATTTGTCTTGTTCACATTTTGCCTCAAAAACTGACACAAATAATTACAACAAAATGATGAGCCAGAAGATCTGAAAGCCTTGTGATATTTAGCTGATAACAGCACAGATGAATTGGATCAAGTAAAGCAATGCTGAATTATTTGCTCTGTGTTGTATCACTATAAGCTTAAATAATAATGTATCAGTCTCAGTCTGTAGATTTGACTCTCCGTGGGGTTTGTTTCAGATTTCACCATCTTTATCTTTATGTTGTGCTGTACTTGATGCCAACCTTGAGAAGGATTTCAAAATCTCAAATAGAAAATACACAAAAATAGAATTCTTTGTTCCTCATTCTCTGTAACGATCAAAACTTGTGCAATAACGGACAGCTGTGTTTAGTTGATTTTGCAATCGTAATTGATAGGGCGCTTTGTATAAGTATACAAACTAATTGGGTTCTTATGGAACAAATCAGTTTCTGAAAATAAAGAGTATTAAAACCCCAGGAGATTGTGAATATTTAATCTATATCTTGTTTCTTTTAACTGCTGCTGTACGCTGTTGCTAAGGAACGCTGCTTTCTGGCCTGCAAACTGCTGCTTAAACCATTGTTGCATCTTTTATCCACCAGTTATTTTAAAAAATAGATTTAAAATCATTAATTGATGTTCAGAAGAATTTGAAAATAACTTCCTGACATACAAAGTCTTTTGGTTCTTACACTATAAGTTATTTGTTGTAAATAATGTATTATTCTGAGGAGGAAGTAGAAATCATTCAGGTTTTATAAATTGTCACATAATGGCTGTTTGTTTCTAACTTGAAACACTGAAACAATCATGATGACATGTTGTGTTTATGAATGTTAGAGCAGTAATAGGGTCTGTAAAATATTTTTTGCGCGTCAAATGAGATCTGCACAATGGCAGAACTGACCCTTTACAGGTTCATTGTGCTGAGCATCATCTCTTGAGTACTGGGCTGACCGAACAAATAGCTTCCAATATGCTTTAAATAATGCCTTAAGAAAAGCTGTATATACCGTACTGTAACATATACTGATCATGTGCTTGTCGTAGTCCACATATACTTCATATAGCATACAGCGTATACACACGTCACATTTAACCCATCACATAGTTCTGCCTTTATTCAATCTTATATTAAAGAAACATGAAGAAAGATGAAAGCTTTTAAAACAAATTGAGAGTCCATGTTTGTGTTTATGTTTGTAGGTTTATGTTTGACACTGTAACAAATTCTTGTCGTCTGAAATAAAACAAAATAATGATTATTTATTATGAAATGTATTTTAAAAACAACTCGCAACACACTGCTAAATTATACTGTAATTCAGTAATATAAGCATTTTTGAGCCGAAAAGACTAAAATGTTTGTCCTAGTATCCCAGAACAAACCAGTCAGTTATCAACTTATGGCTCTCACCATTTTTTAGTTATGACTAACATTAAAAATAATACCAACTTACACATTATTCAGGACATAACAAAATGGCTGATATAACACAGTTGGAGAAGTGAACATTATAAGTTGCTGACACAGATAAATGCATTAAACTTATACAATGTTCCTGTGTGTTGCTGGCCAGCGACGGATTGGACACTTTCATTATCCCTTTTTATTTAAACTTTTTCTTTACATGCAGATATTTGGTGTTTTTGGATTGTTTTTATGTGTGTGAATGAGCCTAATTGTTTGTGCGTATTTATGTGTGCAACATGGCTTGCCTCGTGTTGCCCATTAAGGGATGTATGAAGTATTTTGAATTGAATTGAACTGACAATATATAAAGTACATAGGCTTTTAGCAATAATGCTAACTGTTTAAAGCCACAGCAGAGATCAGCTAACCTCTTCTGCGTTAGTCCGTGCTGTATTCACTACTACTATATCTTGTCTAAACACCCATCAGTTTAAAAGGAGTCCCCTAAGCCGGCCTACGTTATATAATATTGTGCAGTCAATACGGAAGAAAAAACAAGATGTGTGCACATTTAGATTTGTACCAGATTGTTTCAAACAACCTCGTTCAAGGTGTAAAAAGCACAGAAATATTACTAGCTTAATTTTACCCAGTACCAATGGGTAGAAACCACCCAACTGTAGAAAAAAATAAAAATAAATAACATTCACATCAACTGTACTACTGTAAAAGTAATACCTCTAAAACATGGTCCAACAACTTTAGTGGACCCAAAATGTATCAATATTTGGTTGAAGGTTTGTAGACGTCAGCAGGCTCTTGGTATCTCACCTGGTACCCGCTCTGCCAGACCTGTACTGCAGCGATGTTCATGCCCTGGTTTTACCATCAGCTTGGTCTTCTGTTAACAGATACGCAGCTGTATTGACAGACTTGGTCGGTCAGTAATATCACCGTGTTTGGTCATAGAGAACTACTTGTTAAAGACCATAGTTCTGCTGCATTGTACTAAAATTTAAGGGTCTACGCTCCACAAAGGGCTATGAGTTCTACACATTTCGCCCAATAACTTCTCCAAACACAGATGAAGCTGGAAGTCAGCACTTTAATCTCACAATCTTATTGTTTTATTTCAAATCCGTTGTACTGGAGTACAGAACCAGAATAATGAAAGATGTGTTACTTGAGGACTGCATCATGTACAGAGAAAGAAAGTCCTTCTCTCTCCGAGTGGTGAGGAGCACGTCAACATTCATATTTAGAGGCTCAGTGTGTGTGTTTTTTTGTCTTTTCTGACGGTGATTACCAAGCTGTGTTTCCCTTATTCGGTTCTCTATGAAAATATAACATCTTTGTTGCACTGGGGGTGTTTTCATATGAGACAACAGGATTCCCTTTTCATGGCTATTACTCAGATCTCTTTCTATCATTGTCTGTCTTACACAAGTGAACATACACTCACAGAATCATTCAAAGTGAAACCGAAATTTCTGAACCAGTGTGTGTCCCTCCCTCTTGTATTTCCATTTGGGTTTTGATTCCATCAATGCAAAACATCAGGAGCTGAATTCAGTTTAGAGAATGTAATTTTGATAATGGCATACAGTATATAAAGTGTACTTATTGTGAACATCAACAGTAGTTAAACAACGTCATGGTATGAAAACACCTGGTATGAATGCATAATGTGGTAAACACTTCTATTATGTTGAATGCCAATCAGCAGCATGTTGATTATGTGAATTTCCAGATCAACAGGAGGCAGCGAACAGTCATCTGTACTCCAACTGCAGGTGCAAACGGCACACTTTATGATTTTTAAACAATCCTTCAATTTGAAATAATCACCTGATAGGTGATTTCCCATCCTGTAAACTCCCCTCTTGTGTAGCTGTAGGTTTCAGTTGTCAGTGCAGATTCTGATGAGTCGAGTCGTTGTTAAACCACTCGTTCATTGTGATCGATTGCTGACCAGTCCCAGATGAAAATTACACATTTTGTGGCTTTGTAGCTTCATTTGAAACAAGATGACAATTGAGTGATGCTCCCCCAGTGTTGCTAATGTGTGTAAGCTCTGCATCTTTAATGTTAAACTGCTAAACAAGACGATGGTTCCCAGTAGGCCAAGGGTAATGATAACTGAACCAGGAAATTAAACATAATGGTTAAACTGTTGTAAAGCTGTTACTTTAAGCTACATTACAGTGGATGTGGGTTCTCTAAGTGTTCTCACTTAATGTTGACGATTAAGTTAAATAATAAGTACATTTACTCAAGTACTGTACATAGTACATTTACTCAAGTACTTTCATTTTATCCGACTTTATATTTGTACTTCACTACATCTCAGAGGCAAATATTGTACTTTGTACTCCATTACATTTGTCTGACAGTTTTAGTTGTAGTTACTTCTGAGATTATAAACCATGTATCTC